TACATTTATATAACTAATGACACTTCATCTATTATTGGTGGTCAGTACACGAGGTCAGCAGGAGACCCAGATATGACCGTGTACTACCGTCTGTTACTTCCTTTCCATTCTGTAGCCGTGTTTGTGGCCTCAGACAACTTCCAGGCTGACAATCGGGTTGAAGGTTTCAGTTCCTCTCATTATAGTAAGTTGGTTCCATTTCCATCTCTGTACGATCCCTTCTCCTCCTCCTCTCACTCCCATTCATCTTCCTCAGGTCATTGACCATACAGATGAGGAGAACCGTGTAGAGGACACAGACCGCACCGTGTGACAGGAGGTGACCCCAACGTGACGGAATTCCTGGAGATAAAATACGGAGACACCATGACAGAGTTATACAGAACAACAACATCACATATCAGACCGTCAGATCATTCAGGAGGAAATGTATCAGGAAAGTCACACATGATACAGATGTCGCTGGTCCGAGATCATTCAGTAACATGGAGGATAGAAGGAGATTATCATCACACAAGGACAGCGGGCCGGGTGAGGACACATGACCATCTGTCAGGGTACCGTGTGCGGGTGTCCCATAACACATGCAGGTACCCGCACGGGAGGACCAAAATGCGTGACCACACCAGAAACTGCCACCGAGCTTATATACTGTTTATTATACACACCAAAACATAACACAAGTAACCACAAACAAGTCATAGTAACTAACTAAATGTAAACACAAGAACATACAAAAGCTAACAAGGCAAGTAAACCCGGGGAGCATAGAACCACAAGGGGGGTCAAGGAGGTAACAGGACTCAGGAAATTGCGACAATACTGCGCCAAAGTCCTGACTGCAGGGACGGATTAAATACCCTCCCAGGTAGCACCAGGTGGTGAATAATCGCTGACAGCTGAGAGACACCTGCAGGTGAGCACTGGAGTTGCAGGACCTGGTTCCAGGGCCACCTGGAGGTGCTCTGGTCCCTGACACCATCTGAGAGAGTCACCAATCATATGAATAAACACTTCCACAATGTCTATGACCCCCTGTGAGGGTGGGGGGATGGGGATCACAGCTTCTTTATAAGATCTACTGACCTCATACCGGGATGTTTAATGGTCCTGGAATGGGAAGAATTACCAGGCGTTGTGTTCTTGGCACCTGGAATCCTAATTCTGCTGGTTTCCCTGAGTCTGGGGGATTGATTGCTTTCCCCTGTTGCTGGGTTGGGACTTCAGCATACAGTGAGGGAGGATCCATCCTCAGACTCTGACCAATCCCTGAGGAGGATGACTCAGAGGTATGGCTGGAGGAAGGTGGTAAAAGGTTCGGGGACACCTTCCAGAACTCTCTCTCTCTCCCCTGGGTCCCTCCCTGGGAGGAGGTCTGTGTGATACAGGATGCCTGGCCTAGGCCTCAGCATGTGACAGATGCTTGGGGCCCAGGGACCTTAAATGCTACTGAAAGGAACCTGATGGAAGCCGGGCTGGGAGGTGGAATCTGCTTATTGAGGAGTGTCGCAGAGGAGCTGGTAAGAGCTACCGTCTGGAGCCCTGTAAGAGATCCCTCACCCTAATCTCAGGTACTATACAGAAGAGAAGCCAGCGGGTGCACTACATGTCCAGAGACAGTTCTCCTTCAAGTCCTGGACTATTCCTGGTTGTTCTCTGGTGCTACTTCATATTACAGGTCGCTCTCACAGGACCGTGGTGAATGTGGGTAAGGACAGGGAGCAGACTGAGAGTATGAGAAAATACAGAAGTAAAGTTTTATTGTGGGGAAGGACAAGAAGTAGAGTGTGATCATGGGGAAGGACAGGAAGCAGTCAGTGAGTGTGAGGAAGGAGAGGGAATAGACTATAAGTGTGGGAACTACTGATCACCAGAGGAGCTGATTGGTGGCTTCCCGACACATCCAGCTACAGAGCGGAGGAAAGGAGCAGAGTGCGAGGAATTGTGCTAAACGTGGGATTTCCCCTCAAATATTGGAATCAGCGGCTCTCATCCCTTCCTAATAACAAATCACCGGAGATAAATGGATTGTCAGCAGAATACTTCAAAGCCTTCACAGGCAATTTGATGTCTTACTTAATAATAAGGCTGCGTCCCCGTCGTCTTCTCAAAGGAAATGTTGCCGACAACCATAGCTACCCGACCAAAACCAGGTAATGAGCCCGAATATCAGACCCGAGTCACATATTCATACATTTTACTGAACCCGCTCCTTACTATTACTCTGAACTCCTTAGTTTCTGATCAAGTAAGCTTTGTCAATGGTAGACCGGCTTCAGGCAGCACCTTATGTATCATAAATCTAATTACACTATATTGCCATAATTATTGGGCCCCTCCCCCTCCAAATCATGTGATTCAGGTGTTCCAATCCCCTCCATGGCCCCCGGTGTATAGGACGAGGCACCTCGGCGTGCAGACGCTTCTACAGACATCGGTGAGAGAACGGGTCGCTCTCAGGAGCTCAGTGACTACAAGCGCGGTGCCGTGATAGGTTGTCACCTGCGCAATAAGTCCGTCCGTGACATTTCCCGGCTACTAAATATTCCGCCGCGGTCGCCTGTTACTGGGATTATAACAAAGTGGAAGCGACCGGGAACAGCAGCAACTCAGCCAGGAAGTGGTCGGCCACGTCACATGACAGAGCGGGGTCAGCGCATGCTGAAGTGCGCAGAAGTCGCCAACTGTCTGCAGAGCCAATAGCTACAGACCTCCAAACTCCATGCGGCCGTCAGATTGGCGCAACAACAGTGCGTAGAGAGCTTCATGGAACGGGTTTCCATGGCCGAGCAGCTGCATCCAAGCCGCACATCACCAAGTGCAATGCAAAGCGTGGGATGCCGCGGTGTAACGCGCACCGCCACTGGACTCTAGAGAAGAGGAGGCGTGGTCTCTGGAGGGACCAATCACGCTTCTCTGTCTGGCAATGGGCGTGTCTGGGTTTGGCGGTTGCCAGGAGAACGGTACTTGCCTGACTGCATTGTGCCAAGTGTAAAGTTTGGTGGAGGGGGGTCCTTGGGTGAGAATTGGTCAAGAGCCCCCCCCTCATCATCTGAGCCCCTCATATAAGTTTGAGACACCCGCACCCATAACTCTCATGCTACATCACTAACCCAGTCCAAATTTTAAGAAGAACCGTTCCGCCCGCCTATTCATTGGAATATAGTGAGGCCTTCACATTATGTTTCATCAGTTGTTATAAACACATTCCGCCTTTCTGCAAAATGTGCAACCGAACAAGACTAAACAGAACTGATATGCAAATTCTGACTTTTGGTTAAAAGTCAGCAGCCAAGCCTTCACCTCCATCTCTACCCACCCCCCTGGCCACTGACATATGCAGGGAGCAGTGACATGGGAGTATCACAGGAAGGACAAAGGGTTCTTTGAGGCGTGGGCTGGCAGGCTGGCTTCACCTTCTCTGTGTTGTGTAATAGGCAAGATGGCGGCACCCAGTGGGGGAATAATGAGATTTGAGTTCTTTATATATGAATAGTTTATGTTTCACATCTCTTTCTGTAAATGTTGACAAAGGAAAAGGTTACTTTATACCTCATCTAGGGACAATAACTCCCTCCCCCATCCCCCCTCCAACCCATCCGGCATGTTTTTAATTTTTCCTTACCTTGTGGACCATGTTATAGTCATCCAAGTCCGTCACTCAGGCCCCTCCCCTGTGCCATTTCCGGGTGCAGGAGACCGCTAATCCGGCACTGCAGCACCTGACAATTCCCTCGCACTGAAATCACTTCTCTTCTGGATCCTGATAGGACCCCACCACTGGAAGCCAATAGGAAGTGTCCATGTGATGCAGGCAGTGGTGTGGACCCCCATAGAAGGACCCCACCTTCCCGGAGAGAGGACTTGGGATTGGAGTGTCAGGTGACCACGGCTTTAGGTTCGTGCCAGTTTGGGATTTTTTCCCCGAGATTTTTTTTTTTTTACCTCAACCCAAAACCCAACCAAACCATAACACGAAAACCTAATTCAATCCTAACCTTCCAAGCAGAGATGACACAGCCCCGGTGCTGTATTATAATGATGAGGAACACCACACTGGTATATACAGAGGTAAAGGACACACGTCACTCACCTGGACAAGGCTCACGGATCTCATTGGTGGATCTCTCACCGATATTGTTCTTCACCAAGCAGCTGATGTTCCAGGAATCGGGAGGTGACACCGGAGGCACAGTGACACGGACTGTCCGCTCTGAACTGGTGACGTTATATCCCTCCGATCCTCCAATCACAGTCAGGAAGATGGAGAGGTCAGTCCCCTTCTCCACCCTACAGGAGATCTCAGAGCTGCCATTGTGGAGACACGTCACTTCCAGGACCGGATCCGATACCGGAACTGAGACACACAGAGAGGGGGAGATGTCAGTGTCTGTGTCAGGAACTGAATTAAGGTTTCTTACCCCAAATACTGAATAAGACCCATCTAGAGACAGATCAACCGGCCAGACCAAACTGGAAGTGGCAGATCTCAGGGATCCACGGAGGCCGGATGTTCAGTTCCAACCAATCAGTGATACAAAACACAAAAATTCCCCAGCCCCAACCTGCCAGCCGGCCTGCAACCAAACAAGTAGCCCTGTCAACAGTATGCGTTAAAATCAGAGGTTTTAGTTGCACAAACTTTTGGCCAAAAATATGTAGAAGCCGCACTGCCGCGCCAAGGCACCTCTGCAAAGTGTGGTCCTAACTCTATGTATGAGCAGATCACATCCACCCTGCAGAGGGTCCGAGCCGGCTCTCCGTACCACTCAGTGATGTCCAAGCTACGTCATGATGGCACAGATCACCCATAAGGCCGTGCAGTGGCGGAACTACCGCCGGTGCGGGCGGTGCCGCCGCACCGGGGCCTGAGCCTACGGGGGGCCCAGTATCTATTCAAACACGGCCGCTGGTTACCATCGCATCGGTATGCGGCGGGCCCCCCATCTCTGCGCCGGGAGTGATCACATTGCCTGAAGATGGACTATGTAACCGATCAATATGAGTGCTGGTGATTTCTACTTTCCACTGTGTGTTGCACGGCGCCATCCGTGATTGTCACTGCGCGCACCACTACAAGTACTAGGGCCGGGAGCGCTGCAAGGAATGCAGAGGGACTTACTACTTTCTATGTAACGGATCCGACATTCCCAAATCCGACATCATCCCATTATTATTATTATTATTATTATATCCGAGTCCTTTGTGTTAGGATGTAAATATAAATCTCTGGACCGGTCTCTCTCTCCCACTCACCTGTACAGGAGATATTGATAGATGTGCTGAGATTATTGATCTGATTGGTGACATCACAGCGGAGGGTTCCGGAGACCGGAGGGGGAAGAGTTACCCAGATCTCTCTGGAGACGGATCTTCCATCCAATCTCCAGGAATAACGGGGATCTGATCCTCTCACTGAACAGACGGCCTCTGCACTGCCATCCGGGAGACAGGAGGAGCTCACAGCGATGTCGGAGAGGGGGACTGGGGGGGACACAATTCAAGGATATGATTGGTCAGAGCAATGACATAGAAACTCAGACTTATCACAATGGTCATATGGAAATACGGAGGCTTCCAGTGGTACCCTCTCCTCCTGACAGCGCCAGTTACCTGGTTGTCATGCCGATCCTCTGACCACACTAAACACTGACAGGAAATGAATATGTTGCTTGGGATCTCTGACTTTGCTCTGACTTCACTTGATGCATGCTTGTTCTGGAGCAGAGATAAACTAACACTAGAGACAACCAGGAAAGTATCATCAGCAGTGAAGTCCCCGGTATTCCTAACCATTGCCCAAAATATTATACTTTGCCTTGTCTCAGCCTGGGGCATGTGCTGAAGGCCCCAGGATTTTAGCT